CAGAGCATTCAGTTTGCTTGGATATCTATCAGGAAGAGAAGGTGTATCACCTTCCACAATTTTTATCACAACAGACAAAAAATTCTGTCCAGTAAATGCATGGTTCATACAGCACATCTCATACAAAATGCATCCCAGAGACCTTGAAAAATAAACAAATAGGAATAGCATAAGCAATATTTTTGAAAGCAGCATGCATACTGATAATACAGTAAATAAAATCCCAATTGTATGCCCTTTTCTCCAGGGAAGGATATTTCATTATCATAGTATCCTTTTAATCTAAAATATTTTTATGCAGGACACAAACTGATAAATTTATAAACAGGATAAATCAACATTCTATTTCCATAGATTCTGTATATAAATACACATATTCATATGTATATATATATGTAAAAATAAAGTAAAAACCCATTAGATGAACTACCTTAAGCAGTCATTAAAGAGTAAAGTAAAGAATACAAATTTTTAATTAGTGGCTGACTCAGAAAACAGTTTAGTAGTGTTTGGGCATAGGTTTGGTTAAATTGGTTTTGCAAATTAATTTCTGATAACAGACTGAAGCTAAAATTCAAGTTCAAACTAAATAATGCCAGTTTCAAATAACAGAAGTGTCTTCTAGTGTGATTTCACTCACTTGGCCCCATACTCAAAATAGATTATGAAATCAGTTTGTACTCAAAGAAATAAGGAACTTTAGGTGAGAGCATTTTATTGTAACATCTAAAACTAAATTTCCTCAAAATTTTATTTGGAGAACAAAAGAAAAAAGCTGAACATGTAGGTCTGGAGACCTGGCTAAGAACCAGTGTCAGTTTTAAATCATTAAAAACCAGGAAGAATGATTGCAAACAATTTTAAAAGGCCTTTTGCTTTACTCACCCTATCCACCAATCCTAATGGCAATCATAAAAAACCAGCAAGTTGAACATTTTAAAGTAAACACTCTCATAATAATTTATATAATGACTATTTATAATAGTTTGCACTTCAACCAGGTTCTGTCTGACAAGTGTTTTTTAAAAAACAGTGGTGTTGATCTTTCCAAGCTTTGAAGGATGCTGAGTGTTACCTTCAGTTTACACTCAGGAGAGCTGAGACACTGAGAACTGACTTGATCAAGGATGTGGAAAATGCTGGTGAGAGCCAGACATGGGTCGAGACCAACTGAAATATCTTAATGTAGTATTTGACTGTGGTATTTATAATTCACAGAAGTAGTAAGAAAATAAAGCATAGTGATAATAATTAGAAGTATGTATGGGTGAATGGCTTTCAGGAGAAGGATATAAACATTATCATCTTTGAATATAAGGATAAGAAGGATATAAACATTATCATCTTTGAAAGCAAACAGTGAATAAAGTTTCAGTTATTCATTCTGGTTAAAGAAGAATTGCTTTGGTCCATCTAGCACTAAAAGAACCAGAGAAAATAATTTTAAAGCTGAAACACAGGGTCTACATACAGTGCAAATAGGGAAGAAGAGAGAGAATGGGGCACTCCACTCACTGGTACTTTTCAAGCAGTATGTGAAAACAATTAGTAGTGAATTTATGCTAAGGACTGCCTAAAGTGCAACTAATGAAGTACATAAATAATTGCCTGGGTTTTTTAAAGATTTAACTCTCAAACAGCTTTCAAACTTCCAAAATCAGTAAACAGTAACACACAAATGATGATCTATATTTATGATGTATATTCAAATTCTGAAACAAAATAATTACTACATGAGAAAATACTTAAAACAAAAAGAACAACAAAAAATAACCCTACACACATAGCACCAAATAAATATGGAAACCAGTCAGAGAGAAGAAAAAAAAAAAAAGAAGGAAAATCCCAACCTGATAGACTGTACTATAACTTCTTTTTGCAGAATCAGTCTGTTTTGGAGGCTGCTTGATTCTGGCAGCTAAAAATTGCTTAATGAGCCATTAGGAACATAGGATTTGCCACATCAGGGAAGCTGATTTATTCATCTAGTTTAGTACTCTGACTACACCTGAGGCTTTGGAGAAGGATGAAAAGAATGCCCAGG